GCTCTAAGTGTTGTATATGTATTAACTCGACTAGTCCTCATAACTTTTGAGGTAGGGACTATCATTATCCTTATTTCACAGATGAGGAGACCAAGGCACAGAGAGCTTAAGCAACTTGCCTAAAGTCACACAGCTAATAAGGGACAGAGCTGGGATTCCAACCCAGAAAATCAGTGCTCTTAAGTACTCAGAACTGCTACTCTCACTCCCATGGTGTGTATTGGTTAGGTTCTTAATCTCTCTCCCCTACACCTCTCCACCTTACTATCCAGTTGGACACCTGAAGCCCAGGTTTACAATGGCAGCTTTTCTGTGGTTGGCCTGCCCTCTGCTGGTTAAAGAGCTGGATTGCAGAGATGTGGACTTCTGGGAAGCGCGGGCTTTCCAGAAAGAGGGTTTGTTTGATCAATAGACCAGATTTCCTTTGGGTTAACTCTAGGCCTTTTGTTGACCAGAAATAAGGTCTAGGAGGCTGGGACCCAACTTTTAAATGGGGAGTGGGAAGCTTCCTGATCAATACAACTGCCTGTTTAGAGGTTAAAAAGTTGTCTGCCTGTTTGAGTTTAACTATACACAATAGAGAGATGTGAGAGAACGCATTTGTCTAGTGTTAAAAAATTTCCTAGACAAATTGATCTTTAGTAATTGCCAAAGTTTACCAACTTGCTAATAATGGATCCGCAAGATGACAAATGCTTACGTTTTGTGTATGAAAAGGATATAGAACTTGATGGCTTATACAGTTAGGATACAGAAGACATATAAAGCAGCTAGTTTAGGGGGGAAACTTCCCTAACAAGGTAAAGGTTGCAGTTTCATTACAACGGTAACAAAAATATCATATTTCAAGTCAGTTATTAGGGAGGAAATATAGATGAGGAGAGTGTGTGAGGCGAGGAGCATAGTCTATCAATCAGAGATTAAAAATACAATATACCTAAGAAGCAAAATCAAGATACATCTACGGCTGCCAACTGTAATGATAAAGTTTCATTTCTCAAGAATGATAACCTGACTGCCATGGATGCATAAACCACAGACACAGTGGCAAATAACAAGTTCTGACTTGAAACAGGCTGCTTGGCTAGGGATTGTCTCAAGCAGCAAGCATTGCAGAGAGAATATAGTTTATACTCTGTCACCCCCCACCACTTCTTTTCTTTTTAAAAAAATTATTATTTTTTTAATCTTCACCTGAGGATATGTTTTTCATTGATTTTTAGAAAGAGTGGAAGGAATGGAGGGAGGGTGAGAGAGAGAAATACGGATGTGAGAATCACATCAATTAGTTGCCTCCTGCATGAGCCCTGACTGGGGCTGACTGGGATTCAAACCCACAACCCCTTGGTGTGCCGGCTGACGTTCTAACCACTTAGCAACACCATCCAGGGTCATTTTTTTACTTAAAAAAATTATTGAATTTATTGGGGTGGCATTGGTTAATAAACTTACATAGGTTTCAGGTGTACAATTCTATAATACGTCATCTGTATATTGTGTGGTTCACCACCCAAAGTTAAGTCTCCTTCTGTCACCATTTGTTCCCCCTATATCTTCTTCTACCTATACCCGCCCCCTTCCCTATAGCAATCACCATGCTGCTGTCTGTGTCTCTGAGGTTTTTTCCCTTTAATTTCTTTACCTTTTTCACCCAGTCCCCCAAACCCCTTCCCTTCTAATAGCTGTCAGTCTGTTCTCTGTATCTATGAGTCTGTTTCTGTTTTGTTTGTTAGCTTATTTTGTTCATTAAATTACATATGTAATTGAAATCATATGGTACTTGTCTTTCTCTGACGGGCTTATTTCACTTAGCATAATACTCTCTAGGTCCATCATTGCTCTTGTAAAAGGTAAGATTTCTTGGCTGATGCCATTTTGGGTCTCAGCCCATCTGGTCTCCAGGTGACCTAATCTATATATATAAAAGGCTAGGTGGCCATCCATCCATCCATCCGACCATCTGATCGACTGGCCGGTACATATGACACACACTGGCAATTTAAAAATAAATGTTGACTCGTGCATGCGTGATACATATAAAGCTCTCGCTGGCACCAATCACATGTGTGTTTCGATCTGTTATTGTCAATCGTGAATTTTGTTGACACTTTTATTATAGAGAAAAGGCAAATAGCAATATTAAAATATTTCTTCTAATTAATTTCCTTTCAATGTGCACGAATTCGTGCACTGGGCCACTAGTAAATTTATAATCCCTTTAAAAAAAGGTAAGATTTCCTTTTTTTATAGCTGAATAGTATTCCATTGTGTAAATGTACTATAGCATTTTTTAAAAAATATTTTTAATTGATTTCAGAGAGGAAGGGAGAGGGAGATAGAAACATCAATGATGAATGAATCACTGACTGGTTGCCTCCTGCACATCCACTACTGGAGATTGAGCCCACATCCCAGCATGTGCCCTGACAGGAAATTACAGGTTGATCTCTTAGGTTGATCCTCAACCCCTGAGCCACACTAGCTGGATTGTACTACAGATTTTCTATCCATTCATCTACTGATGGGCACTTGGACTGCTTCCAAATCTTGGTTATTGTAAACAACCCCCAATGAATATAGGGGTGCATATATTCTCTCTAATTAATGTTTCAGGTTTCTTTGGATATATTCCAAAAAGTGGAATCATTGGGTCAAATGGTAGTTCCATTTTTAATTTTTTGAGGTAACGCCATAGTGCTTTCCACAGTGGCTGCACCAATTTGCATTCCCACCAACAGTGTGCACGGGTTTCCTTATCTCCACATCCTTGCCAACACTTGTTGTTTGATTTATTGATGATAGCTATTCTGACATGTGTGAGATGACATCTCATTGTGGTTTTAATTTGCATTTCTCTGATGATTAGTAACACTGAACATCTTTTCATGACTATTGTCCTCCTCTATGTCCTCGTTGGAGAAGTATCTATTCAGGTCCTTTGCTCATTTTATAATTAGGTTCTTAAAAATCCTCACCCAAGGAGATTATTATTTTTATGAGAAGAGAGAGAGAGAGAGAGAGAGAGAGAGAGAGAGATAAACTGATCGGTTGCCCTGACCAGGAATCAAACCCACAACCTTTTGGTTCATGGGACTACATTCCAACTAACTAAGCCACCCAACCAGGGTACAGAGACATTATTTTCTAAAATATCTTTCTAAGGTCTAAAAAAAAAAAAAGGGTAAAAAGAAATAAGAGATTGGAGTTGTTATATTGGCATCGTTTATAATGAAGATCTTGCAAACATGTTCTCAAGTATTAATCTGTTGAAGGCCCTCCAAATATTTTACAATATTTCCTTTGGTGTCCTGAAATTCATGGATAACACAATCTACTTACACAGATATGAAAAAATCAATATAAAGCTTAACATATAAAAATAAATATATTTGTTATAAAATATAGTAATATGTATTTCAATATTTAAATCCTTGGGTTTTACTACTAAAGACATAATGAAGCAATGAGATGCTTGCATCTATGTTTAATGAATAAATTTGGACATAATAGGAGTCATAAGAAGAAAAGCCATTCTAGTCAAATGAAAGCAGAAGTGTGGTGGACACTAAAATAAAACCTGGTGTTAAGTAATTATAGAGAAGACATTTGTATAAGCAAAATAGGGAAGTAACCTTAATTAAAGTCAGAATAATATATCAAGTACTAGGTAGAGAAAGTGAAGGTATATACCAGTGATGGTGAACCTTTTGAGCTCGGCGTGTCAGCATTTTGAAAAACCCTAACTTAACTCTGGTGCTGTGTCACATATAGAAATTTTTTGATATTTGCAACCATAGTAAAACAAAGACTTATAATTTTGATATTTATTTTATATATTTAAATGCCATTTAACAAAGAAAAATTAACCAAAAAAATGAGTTCGCATGTCACCTCTGACACGCGTGTCATAGGTTCGCCATCACTGGTATATACTATTGTTGAAAATTAACTGTCTCTTATTTTTAAGGAAGATGTTATAATTTTCTATGTTGTGTTGTAGGATGGGATAGTAAAAGAAGATCTCAGAAGTCATACACTCATCTAGTTTATCTGACCACATGTTGGAGCAAACACTTTGATTCCCAGAACTTTGAGATCTTGGAAATCAGGTCCTTCAAGAGTTGATGGGGAAAAGAGAAAGATTTGGAAAAAATAAGCAGTATTTAAGAGGCTACAGGGAAGTTCTGTGGCCAACTTTCGGGGACAGTATCAGATAAGACTGAACGCCAATAGGAATCTCCAAGTAAATCATTTCAATAAGTAATTTTCACAATAGATTTCTTACCATTGTGCTGCAAATATTTTTAAATTCATATAAATTGGCAATAAAATATTTTAAAACTAGCCTTTATTTATAAAGTCCATTGATATCCCTGCATTCATCTGCCTCTACTAATTTAGTAATGCGTAAAGTCTATTAAAAGGAGTCTCAGCTGTACATATTTGCAGTTGTTTCACTGTTTTTCCAGCAACCGTACCACTAAAATGAACCCCTTTTCAACTACTTAGTTTGAAATGCTGTAATTTAATTCTTCCCACAAGTGGGTATGAAAATCCTAACTGGGTTCCAAACTTTTCACTATCAGTCTGATTAAACTGTGTTTTGGATTCAAACTCATCATTCACTCACTCATCCATCCATCCATCCATCATCCATCCATCCATCCATCCATCCATCCATCCATCCATCCATCCATCCATTCATTCATTCTCAATGAACTCTACCTACAAATGTTGGCTAGTGTTCCATTGCTTTCGAATGTATTAACCTCCCAGTATTTTAAATTCAATCCTAACTTGAAATCTAATCAACTAATCGCATCAGATAAAAGCAACATTTCCAAACCAGTGTTTCTAAGCAGAGTGTCCCTCCAGAAAAGAAAGGAGAATTCTCTCGAGCGGGTGCGCGGACTCCGGCTTCCGACGGCCTCTAATGCCCCGCCCCTTCACGTTCTCCACGGCCTCCTCCCGTGCGTACCGCCTCCAGGGCCGGCGTCCGACGTCGAGCGGAAGTGACGTAGGACGGCCGCCGGAGGTGTCGTTGGTGGGTTGCGCGGCTGGGCCTGATAGTAGACTGGGTTCTGCGGCCAGGAAGAGAGCGCGATGTCTATCGAAATCGAGTCCTCGGAGTGAGTCCTGCGGCGCGGGATGGTGGGGAGGTGGCGGGGCCGGGAGCTGAAGGGTGTGGAGTGGAAGGTGATCAGGAGAGGCGTCCGCGAGGCTAGGGGGTGGCGGGGCATTTCCTTGCCCGCTAAGAAGTTTCTTGCCTCTGGCTCCCTCGGGGGCGGGTGCACGGGAAGTAGCGGACCAGATGCCCAAAGCCCAGTGGGAGGCGGCGCGGGTCCGGGGAAGGTTACTCCTCGAAGACCGAGTCTAGCGGTCGCCGACGCCTGGCGCTCCGGGGCTGATCAGGTGACCCTTCCTCTGCGGGCTCCCGTCTGATGATCTGCACCCGGGGCTGCTCGTCCTGCCCCGGTTAGAACAAGTGTGATTCGTTTCCTCTGGGGTTGCGTGGCTCCTCTGCTCTCCCCTTCGCAGCACTTAACCCAGTATTGTCACTGTTTCGCTCTCCACCCCGCTGTGCTGGGCGCCTAGCTAGAGGCTCCTTTTTCTTCTATTGATAGTCCCAGTGCCTAGCACACCGTGGAGGCTCGATCACTGCCTTTGAAATGAATGGACGACTAGTTTTTTTATCATGCCCTACCTGGAGCTGAGTTCTGGTTAGTCTGTGAGCTCTGTGTAGCTACAAAAGAGAGAGAATCTGGAGATTGGGCCCGAAGAATAGCAGATTGGGGGTGGGGCGGTCCTAATGAGTGACTGAAGGTCTTAGTGAACTTTTCCAGGACAGCGTCCTCCACCTTGCACTTGGCAACACTCAACAATTGAATCATCAGATGTAACATTTGTGTTTTGAGTGTAAGGGAGAGGACTTGTTCTGAAGACCTGCCATAGGATGAAAGGGAGCTTATTTATTCAACAAATACTGAAGTCTACTATTGTTCTGGACTCCTGGGGATACAGTAGTGAACAAAACAGACAAAAATCCTTACCCTTATAGCATATACATAGTGATTGGGGAAGGCAAACAACAGACAAAAACAGTAAATAAAATATGAGGCTTAACAGATGGTGATAAGTATTGTGGAGAAAAAATAGAGCAAAGAAAGGTGATCAAGAGTGCTGGAGTTAAGATAACTAAGTCAAAGGCAGGGGCTGGAAGGACTCCATGATTTAGGACCTAAATAATAGTGGATACTGACATTCTCCCATTCTTGGGCTGCTGTGCATTTTTATCGTCTATAATAATAAAATATGCTAATTATACTGGACAGTGAACAACCTTCCAAACAACCTTCTGGAGGAAGCTGGGGCTGCAAGGGCCAAGCCCCTTGCAGGAATTTCATGCATCGGGCCTCTAGTTATCAATAATAGCTACTATTTACTAAGTGTTTTTTATGCTAGTCATGCTGTAAGCAGTTTAGTCAACCTTTTCACCAAGCCTACAGGGTAGGTATTTTTCTTAACAGATGAAGAACAGGCACAGAGATAACTGACTTGCCCAACCTCACAATGAGTGACAGAACTCTGATTCAAATCCCAGCCTATCTCCAAAGTTTTAAACTCTTAATGTATTACATTGTGTTTGAAGGAAGTAAATTGGATTGTGGTTATACCAAATAAGAGGTCTTTACAGGGAGAGTGGCTTATTTGGGGAGTGCAAATGGAAGTGTGTTAAGGAGGATAGTAGGTACTAGAACAGCAGTGATCTAAACCTGAGCCCTGAGACAAAAGATTACTGCAAATAGCAGTAATAGGCTTCCTTCTTAAAATCACTGCCAATTTGAATCTTCATTTTCCCACTTACCTGTTACTTGGTGAGATTCTCATCTATAAAATGGACATTATGGTAATACCCTATCTCATAGGATTGTTTTGAGGAGTAAAACAATATGTCTAAAACGCTTAGAATAGTACTTGGGCCCCAGCCGGTTGCTCAATGGTTAGAGTGCCGACCCATGCACCAAATGGTCATGGGTTTGATTTCTGGTGAAGGGCACATCCTTGGTTGGAGGTTTGATCCCCAGCTCCGGTGGGGGCTCCTGAGGGCACTTGCGGGAGGCAACCAATCTCTCTCTCTCTTTCTCTCTTTCTCATCCCTCTCTCTCTCTTTCCCCCCCTCCTCTATACCTTCCACTTTCTCTAAATATCAATGGAAAAAATATCCTCAGGTGAGGATTAAAAAAAATTAAATTAAAAAAAAAACCAGTACTTGGTATATTGTAAACCAAGCATGTCAAACTCAAAGGCTAACATGGGTCAAATAAACAAGGTTTAAGTTTATGTGGGCTGCAAAAAAACAAAAGCTTCAATTTTCATAGAAACGTGGGTTTATTTCGATAGAGACATGCTGAATACAAAGGGCTGAAATAAATGAGTCATCGTTAACATAAAATAATAGAACAATGTAATGAAAATTAATATTTTTTTCTTGAATATTAACTTACCAGACACTGAATAACTGCACAAATTAATAAGTGTAACGCAAATACCTATTTTTCTTTTTCTCTGAAAGCGAAATATTTCCTGTTGCGCACACCAAACAAGTCAGCACAAGATTAATGATGGGGCAATCAGCTGCTAAAATATTCACTGCTAGTATTGGAGAGAAATGCCCCCCTGTGCATAAGGCGCGTAAGGGAAATGAATGCAACACGATTATAGTAATCAGTCATTAGCAAACGTTGTAGTTCGTTATTAATAATTATGTATAACAGGATATTGTAAAATTAAGTTACGAAATTTTTTTTAAAATATTTTATTGATTTTTTACAGAGAAGAAGGGAGAGGGATAGAGAGTTAGAAACATCTATAATAGAGATCGACCAGCTGCCTCCTGCACGCCCCCTAGTGGGGATGTGCCCGCAACCAAGGTACATGCCCTTGACCGGAACCGAACCTGGGACCCTTGAGTCCGCAGGCCGACGCTCTATCCACTGAGCCAAACCGGTTCGGCCGAAATTTTTATTAAAACGTTTCTTACATACCGTTATATTGGCTGGGCCGAGAAATATTTGTTGTGGGCCGCATGTGTCCCGTGGGCCGAGAGTTTGACATGCTTGCTGTAAGTGCATAATAAACATTGGTTATTATTTTATGTTTATTATTTCTCCCCAGAGAGAATTGACTAAATTTCAGTCTGAAACCCCTTCCCCAATCTGACCCTTTATACTAGTGCTGTTCAGTGGAAATACAGTGTGAACCATGGATAAGGAAAGAGAAGGAAAACAGTGTATCACAACATCATACAGTGAACTTTCACAGTACATGTGAACCAGATTCCTCACTAGTCTCATTAACTCCAGATCAGGAAGTTTTAACTGTAAACATATTTAACTAAAAAATTTATAAGTTTTCTGTCACATGTTGAAAATGGATGCTTATTTCAATATTTGGCAATTACCTGACTCCTCTTTTCCTTGAGAAACTGAGTTTATAATGTTTTTATTTCACTTGTCCTGAAAATTTCTTAATAGAGGCAGTAGGTAATGCTATTTTTGCAAATGAGGACACATGGATTTGCTTTACTTTTATATACAGTATAGCTCACCTTATTTGTGTTCAACAAATCCTTATTAAGAAAATCTCGCCCTGGCTGGCTTGGCTCAGTGGATAGAGCGTCAGCCTGAAGACTGAAGGGTCCCAGGTTTGGTTCCGGCCAAGGGCACATGCCTGGGTTGTGGGCTTGATCCCCAGTAGGGGGTGTGCAGGAGGCAGCCGATCAATGATTCTCTCTCATCATTGATGTTTCTATCTCTCTCTCCCTTTCCCTTCCTCTCTGATATCAATAAAGAAATAAATTTTAAAAAAAAGAAAAGAAAATCTCAATTCACATGTTTTGGTTGTCATTTTAAAAATGGACCAAATAATCCTAATAAGAATTTAGAGTACTTGCGTTAATGACTAGACTAGGTTTAAGTATTTCACTAAAGTGTGCAACAATGTAATTGTACAAATTAGTAAGAAAGTTGGCATAATAAAAAGCTCTCTGGCCTTGGAAGTAAGAGTTATTTTGTACCAACTCCCTTTCTAGCTGACTATGAGACATTAGGCAGATTATTTCTCCCCTGAACCTCAGTTCTCCTGTTTCTGAGATGGAGGTAGGACGGGACAAGCTCCAGAGTCCCCTGTAACTTAGATTTTGTGATCTGGGGCATACTTTTCTCATATGATAAAGAAATGAAAAGTGGGCAGAGAAAGCCGATGGTTGAGTAGGAGAAATAAGCTGGGATGGGCCTTTATTTTGTGGCCTCTCTGGGGAGTAGGATCCCTGAACTGGATGACTTGCTTTCTTTTTTCAGTGTGATCCGTCTTATCATGCAGTACCTGAAGGAGAACAGTTTACACCGGGCACTAGCCACCTTACAGGAAGAGACTACTGTGTCTCTGAATACCGTGGACAGCATTGAGAGTTTCGTGGCTGACATTAATAGTGGCCACTGGGACACAGTTTTACAGGCTATACAGTCTCTGAAATTGCCAGACAAAACCCTCATTGACCTCTATGAACAGGTAAGAGTGGAAGTGATGCTGATTCCCATGGGTTGGTTTATTGTGGGACTCCTGACTGAGAAGCATTAGTGAGCATTCCTTCAGGCCCTATAGGGCTGGAATAGTCCTTAAAACTTACACTGTCAAGGTTCAAGTGTTACTTTGTACTTTTTTTCTCTCTTCTTGGAAAAGCCAAGAATTTCCCAAATTGAAAGTATTTCTTAAGTGATCATTAAATATTCCGACACCAACGGTTCTGAAACCAACTAGTGTACTGCAAATTCAGTTCTGGCACTAACCACCCAAAGTTAGCAAAGACCCCATAAGTTAAGGGCTCAATTTTCCATAAGATTGCCCTTACTTCAGACACCAACTGCACTTTAGGGTCTCACGCCACCCACATTCCTGACTAATGCTATAAATTTGGGGACTCCCATGACCCCCTCAATTGACAATTCACTAGAATGACTCACGTAACTCAGGGAAGCACTATATTTATTATTGCAGTTTTATTATCAAGGATGCAGATTGGAACCAGCCAAAAGAAGTGACACATAGGATGAGGTCTGGGAGGGTCCTGAACACAGAGCTTCCAATACCCTCTCCCTGTGGACTCAGTGTCTTTCTCACCTGGCATATTAATGTGTTTACCAACCAGGAAGCTCCATTGGGGTTTTTATTGGGGTTTCATTCATTCTTCAGCTCCCTTGAGATTGGGCTAGCTCAAAGCCTCAACCCTACAATCACATGGTAACCAGCCCTCATCCTGAGCTATGTTATTAGCACAAACTTAGGTGTGATGGAGGGGCCTCTTTAATAACAAAGAAACTCCTATCTCTGGCAAACTTTGAGGCTTTTTAGAAGCTCTGTGTCAGGAATCCAGGACAAAAATCATACAAATTATATATTATGCAACAGAACAGAGTGGAGTTTATGGAATAAGAATGTAGCGTTGTTTGTAAAAATAGGGTAGTTGGTTTGTTTCTTTACAATCTACATGAGTTCGGTAATTCCCCAAAGAAAATTTTGGTACCTGAAGAAAGGTTTCTCTGAAGCCCATGGAGAGATTCCCATCTTTAGTTTTCTTCAGCATATATAGTCTGAACAAATGGCCTGAGAGGAGAGGAGATTGGTAGATAAAAATGGAGGGTGGAAGTTGAAAGATTGAAGTTATTACTTACAATTACTTCAGTTGTCCACCTGAAAAGGAGAAGGGGTATTTCCCAATATCGGAAGTCACTTTGACAGGCCATTTTGCATAAGAAATTGTACTGAAAAAGAAGTATTATTATGAGAATGCATTGAAACAGCCATTTTCTTTCATTTGTCCAGGTTGTTCTGGAATTGATAGAACTCCGTGAATTGGGGGCTGCCAGGTCTCTTCTGAGACAAACTGACCCTATGATCATGTTGAAACAAACGCAGCCAGAGCGGTATATTCATCTGGAGAACCTCTTGGCCAGGTCTTATTTTGATCCTCGTGAGGTAAGACTGTGGTAACAAAAAAAAAAATTGTTGTTAATTTTTGCAAACATGCAATAATGTAATCTTTTGAAATCATTTCATTGGCTCGTATTTGGGATTTTGATTTTAATTTTCGATAGCACTTTTCCATGTATATATGTTTGTTGAAGTTTGCATATGTTAAAGGGGTTGATCTTGTTCAGTTTTCTGAGTATTGAAAGGTTTCCCTTCCCCACATACCACATTTTAGAGGCTTGTGTGTCAGTCAAGAAGCAGAAAGTTTATTCTGATATCATTTCCTCATTAGCCCAAGTACTTGTCTGGCCCTGAAGGGCTTCCTGACTGCTGGTATATTCTCTATGCATTTATGTCCCTTGCCCCTGACAATTGCATTTTCTTTTGGTTCAGGGAAGCGTTCACTTCTCAGCCAATTATGTTTACTGGTAGGGCATGATGACTGATGATCTTTTATTTCCCCCAAACCTTTTTTTGTGTGTGTGCTTTCATTTCTCAGGCAGCCTTTACTAGTCTAAATGGGGTGAAGAAGAATAGACATTGGATAATGGAAAGTTAGAAACCATGAGGATAAAGGGTTACCAAGACAGGATTAATGTTAGAGGTGGTGAAGAACTTCTGGGCTGGGGTCATTTGACTGAAAAAAATTACCAAAGAATATAAAAGAATCCTTGACTGTGCAGATTTTTCAAAAACTGGAAAACAACCCTGGCTTTGACATAGTTTACTTGGACTCCTTTGAGAAATAACAGTATGGATCGTCTGACCTCAGTTTTCTTTCAGCTCATACTTTTGAAATGTAAGTGGACAGAATTGGGAAGTCATTTTTGAAAACTAATTGATTTAATTAACCCCCTGTTCAACTGGGTAGTTTCTTTTCATGTTTTCCATTTTGAGTGTTTCTGCTTGATGATTGTTGTGTAGTTTTTTTTTTAAATAAGTACAGTCATATCTTGTAACCATTTCTTGGAAATGATGCTACCCCCTTTCCTTTTCAGGCATACCCAGATGGAAGTAGCAAAGAGAAGAGAAGAGCAGCAATTGCTCAGGCCTTAGCTGGGGAAGTCAGTGTGGTGCCTCCATCTCGTCTCATGGCATTGCTGGGGCAGGTAATTAAAGTTTGTGGAACTGAAATTACCCTTTATATAAACTACTAGAGGCCCAGTGCACAAAAATTTGTGCACTCGGTGGGGGAGAAGGGGTCCCTCAGCCCAGCCTGTGCCCTCTTGCAGTCTGGGACCCCTCGGGAGATAACGACCTGCTGGCTTAGGCCTGCTCCCGGGTGGCAGAGGGCAGGCCCAATCCCTAGGTGCAGCCCCTGGTCGGGCTCAGAGCAGGGCCGATTGGGGAGTTGGGGCACCGCCTCCTGTCACACACAGAGCAGGGTGGATCAGGGGTTGGGGCGCTGCCACTGTCACACTCAGGGCAGAGCCGATGGGGAGGTTATAGCTCTACCCCATCACACACAGAGCAGGGCCCGTGGGGTGGGGGTTGGGGCGCCGCCACTCTCACACTCAGGGCAGGGCCGATGGGGAGGTTATGGCTCTACCCCGTCACACACACAGCAGGCACACACACAGCAGGGCCGATCAGGGGGTTGGGGCGCTGCCCCCTGTCACACACAGAGCCACAGGGCGATCAGGGGGTTGGGGAGCTCCCCCCTATTAGGCACAGAGCAGGGCTGATCAGGGGGTTGGGGCGCCTTCCCCTGTCACAAACAGAGCAGGGCGGATAGGGAGGTTGTGGCCCTGCCCCCTGTCACACACAGAGCTGCAGGGCGATCAGGGGGTTTGGGCGCTGCCCCGTCACACTGATCCCGGTGCCCGGAGGCCTCGCGGCTCCGCTGATCCCGGTGCTGGGAGGCATATTACCCTTTTACTATATAGGATAGAGGCCTGGTGCACGGGTGGGTGCCGGCTGGTTTGCCCTGAAGGGTGTCCTGGATCAGGGTGGGGGTCCCCACTGGGGTGCCTGGCCAGCCTGGATGAGGGGATGATGGCTGTTTGCAGCTGGTCACACACCCTTCAGGGTGGGCGTCCCCACTGGGGTGCCTGGCCAGTCTGGGTGAGGGGCTGAGGGCTGTTTTCAGGCTGGCGGGTGACTGAAGCTCCCAACCGCTCCTTTTTTTCTTTTTTTTTTATTCTGGGCCAGCTCTTAGGCCTCTGCTGCTGAAAGCAGGTTTCTGGCCTTTGTTTACCTTCTGTATTTGAAACAATATTGTGATCCTGCTGGCTGAAGCCTGGCGGACTAAAGCAGGTTTCTGGGGTTTTGTTTAGCTTCTATATTTGTAACATAGTTGCTTAGAGTTGCAGCTCAGAGGCCTGCAGCGGCAGGCAGGGAACGTTGGAGTCCTCTGTCACTGAAGCAAGCAAGCCTCATGTTAGTTTCAAGCTGCCTGGCTGCCGGCTGCCATCTTGGCTGGCAGTTAATTTGCATATTGCCCTGATTAGCCAATGGGAAGGGTAGCGGTCGTACGCTAATTACCATGTTTCTCTTTTATTAGATAGGATATGTACAAGCTAAAGAAATCAGACAGCCTATGTATTGATTACTATCTGTGAAGCTGTTTGTACTAACAGCTGTGCCATGCCATCCTCATCTTATAGATGAGTGGTTAAGAGAATAAGCTCTATGCCCAGCTGGTATGGCTCAGTGGTTGAGCGTTGACCTATGAACCAGGAGGTCATGTTTCAATTCCCGATCAGGGCACATGCCCAGGTTTCGGGCTCGATCCCCAGTGTGGGGCATGCAGGTAACCGATCAATGTTTCTCTCTCATCATTGATGTTTCTCTCTCTCTCCCTTCTCTTCCTCTCTGAAATCAATAAAAATATATTTAAAAAAAAGAAGAGCATAAGCTCTAGAGTCAGAATTAGGGTGACCATAGAATTTAACATTTCATCTAGGATAACTTCAAGGCACTCTTGATTGTAAAATCCATTTTGGTACTTGGCACAAGAATATCTGTTGGCAGCCAGTGCAACAACAGTGCAAGAGATTGATCCTATTATTTATAAGAATTCAATAGTTGATAATGGAAATGTCACCAAACCTAGGAATAGAGAAGAATTATTCACCTTAGGGTTTGGGGTGCTTACTTTAGAAGGGGGGGGGTGGTCAGCTCAGAGCTTTCACTCACATTTAATATAGCATAATTTCAGATAGATTGAAAGTTATATATTTTAAGAAAATAGAAAAACTAGTAGATAATATAATGTATTAAACCTCCTGCTAGGGAAGGACTTCCTATGATTAGGGAGTAAACATCCAGGTAAAGGTCAACAAATTTAGTCACTTAAGAGTTCAACATAAGATAAAAAGAAAGCTATAAGGCTGTAATAATTTAAAAAATAAGGCAGCCCTAGCTGGTTTGGCCCAGTGGATAGAGAATCAGCCTGTGGACTGAAGGGTCCCAGGTTTGATTTCATTCAAGGGCACATGCCAGGGTTGTGGGCTCAATCCCCGGTGGGGGGGCGTGCAGGAGGCAGCCGATCAATGATTGTCTCTCATCATTGATGTTTCTATCTCTCTCTCCCTCTCTGAAATGAGTGAAAATATATTTTTTTAAAAAGGCAGATTGGAGAAAAAAGTTCTTTCTGGCAAACATAAATAACAAATAACTTGATCACATTAAAAGCTCACAAATTATTAATCAGAGAACTGACTAAAGCAGGGTATAACTTTCCACTCATTAAATTAGCAAAGTTTTAAAATGATATCCAAACTGTTTAGTTTTCTTATTTTTTTTTTAATCCTCATCCAAGGATATTTTCCCATTGATCTTTAGAGAGAATGGAAGGGAGGGAGAAGGGGATGGGAAGAGAAAGAGACAGACAGACATTAACTGGTTGCCTCCTGCATGTGCCCCGAGCTGGGCCAGGGACCAAACTGCAACCGAGGTACATGCCCTTGACTGGGAATTGAATCCAAGACTCTGGTCTGCAGGCCGTCGCTCTAACAACCACTGAGCAAAACTGGCCAGGATGAGTTTTCTTGATATAACAAAGGGAAAAAGGAATAAACGTTGTGCCTGTCATATAAACTTAACATATATTATTTTGTTGTATCCATTTAGCAACTCTAGGAATTAGGCTTTTACTTCTTTGAGTTCACGAAATTGGGAATCAGAATAACATTGGGCAAATGATCTGGCCTAGGGCCATCTGTCTCTAATGCCCATGATTTTTTCACTCATAATATAGTTGTGAGTGCTGTTGAAGTTGTGACTTTTTGGGAAAACAGTTTGTCATTGTATATTAGGAGCCTTAACCATTCTTGTTCTTTTTTGAATTCAATAATTTCTATTCTGGGAATCTATTCTAAGGTGGGAGTAACCCCAAAATAGAAAAAGCCTTATGTTCAAAGATGTTCATTGCAGCATTATTTAGATGAGTAAAAAATTGGAAATGTGTAAATGTCCATTAATATATTAATTAAATAAACTGTTAAACATCCAGGATATATTTTATAGCCATTGAAATGATAATTATGGCATAGCATGATCTGATTTAGGTGAAAACAAAGAATATAAAACTTTACCTATAGCGCCCTGGCCGGTTTGGCTTAGTGGATAGAGCATTGGCCTGTGGACTCAAGGGTCCCAGGTTCGATTCCGGTCAAGGGCATGTACCTTGGTTGCGGGCACATACCCAGTAGGGAGTGTGCAGGAAGCAGCTGATCGATGTTTCTCTCTCATCAATGTTTCTAACTCTCTATCCCTCTCCATTCCTCTCTGTAAAAAATCAATAAAATATATTTAAAAAAAACAACAACAACTTTACCTATAGTATAATTACAGCAACATTAATTAAATACATGTGTAAGGGGGAATACTAGAAGGTAATATATAAAATGCTAACAGTGGCTGTGTTTGAATGTTAGTTAGAACAATGGGAGATTTTTGTTTTCCAAATTTTATTTATAATAAGAGTCACATCTGTAAGAAAATAGATGTGGAAAGATGAACCTGTTGGCTCTTAGACTTCCCTTCCACCCTGAGATCAGCCTGTGTTCCCAGGACACACAGAGCAGCATAGATTTTGCTGTGTTTAGATGGTTGGATCTAGATGGCTCAGTTTCCTGTGAACCTCATTATTTCAGGCTTGGCTTTAAGCAGTCAGGATCAGATCTTAAAAGCACCCAAGTGGATTATTACACATTTCTTTTCTCATAGGCGCTGAAGTGGCAGCAGCACCAGGGGTTGCTTCCTCCTGGCATGACCATAGATTTGTTCCGAGGCAAAGCAGCTGTCAAAGATGTGGAAGAAGAAAAGTTTCCTACACAGCTGAGCAGGCATATTAAGGTAGGATCCTTTGACACTCAGCCAGTTGGTAATCATCTGTTGAGGACTCAACATGTGCTTCCTCAGTCAGGCCCTGTGGTAGGCACTTGCGTTAGAAAGCAGAATTCATTCTTCAGCTCTGATAACATTCAGGGTTGCTTTTAGTGACCACTGGGTCCTGTGGCCTGGCAGTGGCACACCTCAGTTGTATAACCAAGTGGCCATACATTTGACATTTGGCCTGTCATCTGCCTTTGCACTTTCTCCCCAGAAGCCTGCATTTGGAAGAATGGTTAGCTCTTTGGTTAAACCTGGGACTAACTATGAACTTTTAATGTATTTGTCTTGTTCAACATTTGTGTTTTTGCCTGCTGCATGTCAGCCAGAGTACCAGGCGTGGATTGTAAAGTGGGCTTGTGTGGTATTTGAGGAAAATAACTTATCATCTTATGGCTGGTTCTTGTTTGTTTTCTTTTAATCTGAGACTTTTCTAGGAAAAAGCACAATCAAGTAATTGGCAGCAGTTTCCAGAATTACAAGTATATTTGCTATTTCAGCATCTTTTTTATATTATAGTTTTTGGGTTTGTGCTCTCATTGAATATATTATGGATTTTAAAATAACTCATTACTCAAATCTTTTGACTTTGGCTTAGTGCATTGAATTAGTCTTTTCTGGATTACATGTTTTGACTTGTATTCAAAGATGATTTTGAGCAGTATTTTTACCCTGACTGAAGCCTTGATACAAATAGAAATCTTTTATTTATATAAAAGCCTAAGCTATTGTTATGACTGAACGACCAGAATGACTGACCAGTTGCCATGACGCACACCATCAAGGGGCAGATGCTCAAGGCAGGAGCTGCCCCCTGGTGGTCTGTGCACTCCCACAGCCAACTTCCCATGGCCAGCCAACTTCCCCCAGTCCCTCCCCCTGCCAGCAAACCTCCTGCGGTCCCTCCCCTGTCCCTCCCCCAGCCGGCAGACCCCAGCTGGCAACTGGCAGGCTCCCAGCCCCAGGCTGGCATGCCTCAGCCGGCGGCGGCAGCAGGCCTGACCCAGATTGGGACTGGGAAAGACAGCTCTGAAAGGCCCTGATCACCAGCCAGGCCTAGGGACCCCACCAATGCACGAATTTCGTGCACTGGGCCTCTTCTAGTCCATTATAATTATGCTGCTGGGCTAAGATTTTTGTTACAAACACTTTCCATTTTTGGCATTTAAATTGAAATTCATAAAAGAGCTTTTCTCTATTATCTGTCTAATATTTTGTAGTTTTCATCTGTTATTGGGAGCCTGATTGCTGATAAGTGCTCAGGATACATTGCCCAGATAAATATTAGCTTTAATTAGTTCTCCTAGAGTTAGTCACCTTCGCATTATCACTTGGTTAAGTGAAGGTCATGTAAAGAAACAGTGATAGAAAATTTGTTTACAAAACAGTATATGAAAGCTGACATTTATTTTATAAAAATGAGTTTTTTCCTCAGATGCACAACAGGAACATATGCCATATTAAGTTGAGTGTGAAAGTCATGCTAATCGTGGCTGACTCTGGGAAAAGATTATTGTTTGGGTTACAGGATTATTTGTTCTAAGTCCCATTATAAAATATATTTTACTTTTCTTTGAAAATGTCAACTTCACATTAAAAAATTAGTTTCAACTGACAGGCTAGACCAGGAGTGGGCAAACTTTTTGACTCGAGGGCCACAATGGGTTCTTAAACTGGACCGGAGGGCCGGAACAAAAGCATGGATGGAGTGTTTGTGTGAACTAATATAAATTCAAAGTAAACATCATTACATAAAAGGGTACGGTCTTTTTTTTTTTTTAGTTTTATTCATTTCAAACGGGCCGGATCTGGCCCGCGGGCCGTAGTTTGCCCATGGCTGGGCTAGACTTAAAACTGGTCGGAGAAAATATATCCACAACCTTCCTGTGTCCAGGTACAGAAATGTCCCTCCAATGCTCCATTAGAATAAGCTAGCTATGATTTCATGCTAGGGCAGGGTTTCCCGAAAGGTTAAAATGCTAATTGTTTTAAGGCCACTAAATAAAAATGTATCTGTTTCATTGTTTCATTTGAAACAGTTTGGTCAGAAGTCACATGTGGAGTGTGCTCGATTTTCTCCGGATGGTCAGTATTTGGTCACTGGGTCTGTTGATGGATTCATTGAAGTATGGAACTTCACAACTGGAAAAATCAGGAAGGTAAAGTATTTAAAATATATTAACTTTTCTAGTGAAAGAATTACTATTGTTATTCTTAAATTACCTGTTATTTATACACTTTACATTATTTTATTTATTTTTAAAAATATATTTTTATTGATCTCAGAGAGAAAGGGAAAGGGAGAGAGAGATAGAAACATCAGTGATGAGGGAGAATCGTTGATTGGCTGCCTCCTGCATGCTCTACACTGGGAGTAGAGCCCACAACCTGGGCCTGTGCCCTTGACCGGAACCAAACCTAGGACTCTTCAGTCCGCAGGCTGACGCTCTATCCACTGAGTCAAACCAGCTAGGGCTACATTTTATTTTTAATTTTTAAAATATATTTTTATTGAGAGTCATTGGTTGGCTGCCTTCTGCACACCTCACACTGGGGATCGAGCCAGCAACCCAGACATGTGCCCTGACCAGGAATCAAACCATGACACTCAACCACTGAGCCATGCTGGCTGGGCTATTTATACACTTTAAACTTATTTTTGAATGGGTGATATGTACATCTGATACAATATTTTATGAAATAGAAAAGCTGTTCAGTAAAAGGTCATGCTCCCACCCTTGGCCCTCAGCTGGTCAGTTCCTTTCCTTGGTCCAGCCAGGTTACCAGTTTCTTGTGTAACCTTCCTGGAATATTCTTGGTATGTATGTGTAAGCAGTTACTTTTTATGCCCAACCTAACCTAATTGTAGTACTAAATGTGCTCCTCTTATTATGAGTGAGAAAATGGTCTTTTTATATGTGAAAAACCACTGATATTTCCTATTCTGTGAAGTGTGTTCATATCCTTTGCCTGTTTTGTTTTTCCATTTTATTTTTTTAAAATATTTTTGTTGATTTTTAGACAGAGAAAGGGAGAGGGGGAAAGAGAGAGAGAAACATTGATGTGAGAGTGAAATATTGATCAGCTGCCTCCTATACGCTCCTACCAGGGATTGAACCTGCAACCTTTTGGTTCATGGGATGATGCCCAACCAACTGATCCACACTGGCCAGGGCTGCCCATTTTTCTTTTGGATTGTAATTTAACTGATTTGTTGGAGCTTTTTATTTTTATTATTATTATTATTATTTTAAATATATTTTTATTGATTTCAGAGAGGAAGGGAGTGGGAGATAGAAACATCAATGATGTGAGAGGATTGTTGATATGCTGCCTCTTGCACACCTCCTATTGGGGATCGAGCCTGCAACCCGGACATGGGCCCTTACTGGGAATCTTACCTCTGCCTTCTGGTTCATAGGTTGACACTCAATTCACTGAGCCACACTGGTCAGGCTGTTGGAGCTTTTTAAAGTTGAGGGAATCAACCTTTGCAATCTGTATTGCAAATATTTTTCAGTTTTGACTTTTGTCTTGATTTTGCTTATGGTTTTGCTTTATAGACTTAAAATCTTTTATATCATCATATTTATCCATCTTTTCTTCCACAATTTCTTCTAATCTTTTTATGTTTCATTTTATGTTCAATTTTTGATCCATCTGAAATTTCTTTAGTGAGATAAAGTTGGTGTAGATAAAATTTAATCATTTCCCCAAATAGCTATTTATTGACTTTACGCTGATTTAAATTGTAATCTTTATCATAAGAGTACTGAATTCTACTTGGGTAGTGAAGTAATGAGTGATATTCACTTTCTACTTTATATTAATTTTTTATAGTTTGTCTTCTTTTAAAAAAAACAAAACACACCATGAAGCAGTCTCAGTTTATAATTTTTTAAAAATAGAGATACTTCTGTTTGAACAATAATGGTTGATAAAATAAGCATCCATAAAATGGATGATAATTAAGTATATTAGTCAGTACATGGTTTGAGGGAAAGGAGCTGACAATTTGGAAAAAACATTAGTTTCTCACATTATACCCCTAAGATAAATAAATTCAGATTTATTTAAGATGTACAATATTGCCGAAACCGGTTTGGCTCAGTGGATAGAGCGTCGGCCTGCAGACTCAAGGGTCCCAGGTTCGATTCCGGTCAAGGGCATGTACCTGGGTTGCGGGCACATCCCCAGTGGGAAATGTGCAGGAGGCAGCTGATTGATGTTTCTCTCTCATCGATGTTTCTAACTCTCTATCTCTCTCCCTTCCTCTCTGTAAAAAATCAATAAAATATATAAAAAAAAAAAAAAAAAAAAAAAGCTGTACAATATGAAACTGTGCACCCATGGAGACAGACAACAGTGTGGTGAAGGCCAGGGGAGGGGTGTGGAGGTGGGCAAAGGTGAGGAATATGATGGGGGCATCTGTAATAATGTCAACAATAAAATAAATTGTAGGGAAATTCTGCTTAGAAAAGATTAGTAAGCATGCTCGCTTCAGTAGCACATACACTAAAATTGGATGATACAGAGAAGATTAGCGTGGCCCCTGCACAAGATGACATGCAAATTCATAAAGTGTTCCATATTTTTTCATGTAATAAAAGTGTTTATTTAAAAGAAAAAAGATTAGTAAGAAAAATATATAAGCTGTTATGTTGGCATTTTTTATAATGTTTGAATTGTGTAAAATTTATTCCCAGTATTAGTCATTTGTTAGGAATTTGTGTGCATGCCACTACTGTTTGCTTTGGAGATTTAGAGTATGTACAAGCCATTATCCTGATTTTAGTGAGTTTGTAGAGATCTGGGGTAACTGGGTTTTTTGTTGTTTTGATAACTGCTTATTGTTTCCTTTAGGATCTTAAGTACCAGGCCCAGGATAACTTTATGATGATGGATGATGCTGTTCTCTGCATGTGTTTCAGCAGAGATACAGAAATGTTAGCAACTGGGGCTCAAGATGGAAAAATCAAGGTATGGATAAGTGGCACAAACTCTGGTATGCAGACATTCGGAGAGTTCTGTAATGAGGGAGTGTCCTACATATGATATGAGCTTGATAACAGCTACTGTTTGTTGAGCATCAATTTTGTGCTGATAATCAGTTTACTTTTTTTTTTTTAATTTTTATTTTTTTTATTGCTTAAAGTATTACAAAGGGTATTACATATGTGTCCTCCCCCCCCCCCCCCCCGCCCTTGACAATCCCCTGGCCTCCCCTACCCCCCAGTGTCTTATGTCCATTGGTTATGCTTATATCAGTTTACTTTTTCTTGTTTAATCCTAAGAACAACTCTGCCTAGTGAGTTCCAATAATTTGTTTAAGGTCACAGTTAGTGAGCAATAGGTCTGAGACTTCAATTCAAATCTGCTCATGCCCTTTCTGCTGTACCACCATTGCTCACTTTATATGATGTGTTGTACTTTGTGTGTTTTTTTGTTTGTTTGTTTTTAGTGAATGGGATTTTTCTAAGGAATGGGGTAGTCTGCAGTTGATTAGCTGTGGCTTGTATTTAATTGCTGGTAAAATGCCGTGAGCTAGGTAAAATACAGAAGTAGTCTCTGCTAAGTGAACTTAGTCTAAATTTTTGTTTTAATAATTTACAAGGAAAGAGGTTTAACTTTCAGAGGATTCAGTTATCATTGTTCTGTGTAAATCAGACATATCATATTCAGCTATTAGCGTGCATTTTTAATGCTGTTTTAGTACATTAGTGAGCATTGCATCTTGCTTGGCTCTATGGACATTCTACTTATAAGTTTTTACTATTTTTTTTGATAAAGGTTTGGAAAATTCAGAGTGGACAGTGTTTAAGGAGATTTGAAAGGGCACACAGTAAAGGTGTCACCTGTCTAAGCTTTTCTAAGGATAGCAGCCAGATCCTCAGTGCCTCTTTTGACCAGACAATTAGGTAAGTAAGAATCCCCACTGCCCTTACTTGGGTTTGATGTGATGAAGCTCTGAAGGGAAGTACTAGTGATTCCTTATACTTTCACCAGGATGGTATTATATAGAGAGTGAGGTATATGAGATCTCGTTTCCCCAGGCAGAGTACAGCTGACACAGTGCTATAATTTTGTCTACTTGAGTCATTACCCACCTGCATCAGAATCATGTTAGAGGGCATATTACAAATACAGATTCCTGGGATCTAGCCAAGACCTAGAAGTCTGTCCCTGAACAGAAACCTGTGGTATTATTTGCATATTTTCTACCAGTTTCTGTGCCAACCTTTGGTTTTATTTTTGTTTGATTGTTTGACATAATGAAAATTATACTGCATACGTAAATGCATAGCCCCGTTTCTTCACTTAATATTATAACAGGAGCTTCTGTAATTCATCTAAAATGTATTCAACACTTGGTCTCAACCATAATATATAGAATATTAATTGTTCTTTTCATTTCCTTTTATGTGTGATAGAATTCATGGTTTAAAATCTGGGAAGACCCTGAAGGAATTTCGTGGCCATTCTTCCTTTGTTAATGAAGCAACATTTACACAAGATGGACATTATATTATTAGTGCATCCTCTGATGGCACTGTAAAGGTTAAGTATTTGCTACTGGATTATTTTGGGGTATCCATTCCATTTTTGCCCTTTAAGGAGTTTTCAGTGGTGGGAATGGTGATAATTGTGGTGGAGTAAACCTCTTTACTAGCTATTTTAGTTATAATTGAGGTGAGTCTGAGACAGTAATAATATTCTGTGGGTAATTCCTATTGGACTAGGAACCTCAAATCTCAAATCTACAAAATCAGACTTTAGCATGTGTAGGAAAAGAGGAAACGTGTGGAGTCTTAGGTTTAAGTCATCCCCCATTTACAATGTTTAAATTTGATCTTGTCATAGGTATGGTCCACCCACCAAAAATTCACAAAGGGCTCAGTGGCCAAATAAATAGCTATCTTTTTTGTTGCTCAGCCTCATCCCACCCCTGACACCCACATTTAGGGTCTTCCTACTAGCATTTATAGAGGAACAGAAGAGGTTTAGAGTTAAAACCAAGCCCTGCCCTGACCGGTTTGGCTCAGTGGATAGAGTGTCGGCCTGCGGACTGAGGGATCCCAGGTTCGATTCCGGTCAAGGGCATGTACTTTGGTTGCGGGCACATCCCCAGTGGGGGGTGTGCAGGAGGCAGCTGATCGATGTTTCTCTCTCATCGATGTTCCTGACTCTCTATTCCTCTCCCTTCCTCTCTGTGGAGAATCAATAAAATGTATTTAAAAAAAAACACAAAAATAAAACCAAGCCCTCTCTCAGATACTTATTTAATGCCCTCAGCTGAAAGTAATGGATCTTCAGTATCTTAAGAGATTTATTTTAAGAGAGGGTCTCATTTTCTAGAAAAGATGAGAAGTCCAAGTAGTAAATTGCTGAGGATCTTGAGACATTCCATTTACATTCTAGATCTGCTTTTAAATTGCCTTAGGCAAGTCTTTTTTTATTTTTATTTTTTTATTTCATAGAGGAAGGGAGAAGGAGAGAGATAGAAACATCAATGATGAGAGAGAATCATTGATTGGCTGCCTCCTGTACACCCCCCACTGGGGATGGAGCCCGCAACCCAGACATGTGCCCTCGACTGGAATCGAACCTGGGACCTCTCAGTCCGCAGGCCAACACTCTGTCCACTGACCCAAACCAGCTAGGGCTGCCTTATGCAAGTCTTGTAGCAAAAGACCTCAACATTTTAACACAAACCCCTAAAAGTCAGACCACACTCTGAGATTTGTTCTGGCTTGGGAATCTAACCAGAAACCTGAGGGTAGGAGATATACTTTTCCTCAGGATGGATGGGGAAATACACAAGACTCTTAGTATTTTAGTCATGGGATTTGCCCTCTTTGTACTATGTATAGGACCTCACCAGATGCCATTGGAAGGGGGTTTAACAAGGCCGCTTTGTTTTGAGGTCTTTTCCTTTAGTTCCACAGTGGAAAGGGTAAAGCATCTCACTGACTTTTTGGACAAAACACTAAAACCCTTTGAACTCTTGATACCTGAAATGTTCATTTCTCTTCTAGGCAACTGGGCTTTAGAGAAGATTGGGATAGATAATTACAATGTTTATTGGGAAAATAAATAGTTGGGCACTAAATAGTGGGCAACTATTTCTGTTTATGGGTATTCAGCATCTGTTTTGTGCTAAGCTCTGTTGAAGGCACAGAGAAGACACAACATAGTCCATACCTTTGAGGCTTTTATGCCTCATTAAGTGAGTAGTGTCCAGACAAAGCTTATGCCGTCAGTATTTGGTCCATTCCTTTTCTGAGTGCATCTCAGATGTCAATAACTTTATTTTTGGAGACAGTTTATTCTGTTTTAGTAATCTAATTTTCATTGTTTAAAACCTCAGAATTGTAGCCCTAGCTGGTTTGGCTCAAGTGGATAGAGTGTCAGCGTGCAGACTGAAGGGTCCCAGGTTCTGTTCCAGTCAAGGGCACATGCCTGGGTTGCGGGCTTATTCCCCAGTAGGGGGTGTGCAGGAGTCAGCTGATCAGTGATTCTCTCTCATCATTGATGTTTCTCTCTCCCTCTCCCTTCCTCTCTGAAATCAATAAAAATATATTTAAACAAACAAAATAAATAAATAAAACCTCAAAGCTGTAGAAATTCTTAGGCTTTAATTTTCTTATTTTTATTTATTTTTTGTCATAGATATGGAATATGAAGACCACAGAATGTTCAAATACCTTTAAATCCCTGGGCAGCACTGCAGGGACAGACATCACTGTCAACAGTGTGATCCTGCTTCCTAAAAACCCAGAGCACTTTGTGGTGTGCAACAGATCAAACACAGTGGTCATCATGAACATGCAAGGGCAGGTGAGTGCTCCGGAAGTGCCTGTGGACCATTCCCAAATCAGCATGTCTTGGTCCTGGCCCTTCCAATAACCAAATATGGGTTTACCACTCCAAAAAGCATATACACTGTATTTGTTATTCAAATGCTTATTTAAACTATATTCTTCAGCTTTTCAAAAGTTATCTCCTTTCCCCAGGGTTTTTGTATATTATGTTCTTCTTTTGCATCCTTGGGGTAAGTGAGGCTCTTGCCTCTGCAGAATCTCATTGAAGAGTTTAAGATTAACAATTCCTGTCAGAGTGAGGGAGATAGAATGTGTCAGTTACCAATTTGGAACATCTAGCTACCACATGATCTCAGATAGAACGCTAATTGGAAAAGGGCAACCATATTTTCATGATGTGTATTTGTAATCAGCACATTTGCATGGTTCCCAAGGAACCTCACTTTTGTAGCACCAGGGACATTAGAAGCTTCAAGGTTGAGGTCTCGAGGCCTGGGAACATGTAGTGGTGCTATTGAAATGTTGGCTTGGGCACTTGGGATTCTGCTGAGCATGGAGAAGACCCAGGGGCTTGTGTATGGAACTCTGTTCCTTTAGTCCCTATAACTAATAGAAATTAGTGCTTTAAGATCCTTGGTTGAGATGGTTGGTCTGTGGTATCTGCTGGGCCCTGCATAGTAACTATAGGTGCCTACTTCCTCATTTTCTACTTGACATTTTAAAGACTTTTTATTAAACAAAAATAATTTTAGATTCATAAAGAAGTTGTTCCTGTGTACTCTTTCCCCAATGATAACATCTTACATAATGATAGTATAATTATCAAAACTTAGAAATTGACATTAGTACAATTCTGTTAATTCAAATGCAATTTTATTTGGATTTCACCAGTTTTCACATTCATTCATTTTGAGGCAGGAAGTTAATAGTTATATGAAATTTCATTACATGTGTAGAATTATGTAACCACCACCACAGTTAGGCTAAATAACTGTTCATCACCCCAAAGGAACTTTCTCATTCTACATATTTATAGTCAAACCTTCCCAAACAACATTGACCACTGGTCTGTTTTCCATTATTATAATTTTGTCATTTTGAGAGTGGTGGATAAGGAATCATACAGTATGGAATCTCTTATAACCTTGCTGTTTGTTTCAGCTTGATTTGTGATGGTTTTAAATGGTATATAAAATAGAGCAAACAAAGTCTTGGAGACAGTTCCAGCCTGCAAGTGGGGAGTGTCTCATTCTGTTAGAAAGTGAAACTGGGGAGCATGGTTCCATAAAGTGTTGAGAAACAGAGGTTTATTGACTTAGAAATTGTCATATGTGTGGTAATGAATTTGTTTCATGGTAAAATGGCTCAATAAACTAAAGAGCAGGATTGGTGACTTGGGATATAGGAATTCTAAATTTCTACCCGCCACTGACTTTAGATAGCCTATCTTCAAATATTTCTCAGGCAAGAGGATTTAGCATATGATGAATGGAATTTGTGATCTAATTAAACATGTCAGTAAACCATAGTACAAAATAAGAGTGTAAAGATGTCCATTTAAACTGCTGCTAATACAGATGTTTTGTTTTTTGCCTTGCTCTGTGATACGATCTAGATTGTCAGAAGCTTCAGCTCTGGTAAGAGAGAAGGTGGTGACTTTGTTTGCTGCGCCCTCTCTCCCCGTGGTGAATGGATTTACTGTGTGGGAGAGGACTTTGTGCTCTACTGTTTTAGCACAGTCACTGGCAAACTGGAGAGAACTCTGACAGTGAGTATTATTGACTTAAGGCCATCTAAAGAAATTTTGTTAATGCTTGTGTCTTTCTGAACTCTGATGTAAACCTTTTCCTGACTGCTATCAGTGTGAACCTTGATATAAAAATTTTATCACTAAATAAAAGAAAGGATCCATAAGTAATTATATGGAATTACCTCCTCTCTCAAGAAGAAAAGTCATCCTTCATTGAGCCCTCAGCTTCAAGTGGATAGGGTTGGGGGTACATAAAGCAGAGAAGAAGGAAGGGAATATGTCTAGATAGCCACCTAAATTACCCATATATTTCTCAGGGGTGATTGGAGAGTGATAGATATAGCTAGTTCTGTCCATGTCTTTACAAAGACAAATTATCTTATCAAATTGATTTGATTATGTTTTTAAACAGCTCATGTTGTCAGAGTTACTATAAGGAGTAATTAAGTCAGCTGTTGTAATAGCCCCCAAATTTCAGTGGCTTAACACAATCAAAGTTTATTTCTTATTATATGATACTAAAGGCCTGGTGCATGAAATCGTGCATGGGCGGGGTCCCTCGGCCTGGCCAGCAGTCGGCTGATCAGGGCCAGGGGGAGGGACCGTGGGAGGTTATCGGTGGGAGCACACTGACCACCAGGGGGGCAGCTCCTGCGTTGAGTGTCTGTCCCCTTGGTGGTCAGTGCATGTCATAGCGACCAGTCGTTCGATCATTCAGTCATTCCGTTGCTTAGGCTTTTTTATTTATATATATGAGTTGAATAGCCCTCCTCCATCTTTTAGCCGTGCCATTTGGAATATATGGACTCCAAGATCCCAGGAGTAAAAGATAGGTGGAGGGCTATACTGGATGTTTTTAAGACCCACATCTGGAAGTGGCTTATATTACTTTGTTCCTCATTCATTTTTGGTTAGAATTAAGTCACCTGGCCACACCCAAATGCAAGGGGGACAGGGAAAATGTAATCTTTGTGGCCCAGGAAGAAATGGTATGGTGAACATATGAAAAATTGTATATGTACCCATGTTAGAGAATAATCTCTTGTCCTATACATTCTTGAGTGAACTTTTGGCACACCTGCCCTGGGAAGCCTCCAATATGTGAGCAAAACAAGGTGAGGTGGAGAGTGTCTAGCTGAGGGTCCTGGCCAGTCCAAGTTCACTGAGTTGAAGGAATCATTTAGTCTTATTCACTGTCCTGGGACAAAGTGTTATTTACACATTATGAAAAACAGTACAAAAAGTATGAACAACAATCTAAATAGCCTTATTTGAGCTTTTGTTTGTGTGTTGCCTTGATTCCTTTGGTGGAAAGTGGGAACTTCACTCTTATTCTCTCCCACTCGGCTCTGGAAACCTCTTCAAAGTGTTTTGTTTTTTTAATAGAATTATGTACCCTAACCCTCTATTTTACTTTTTCCAGGTTCATGAAAAGGATGTGATTGGTATTGCACATCATCCCCATCAGAACCTGATTGCTACCTACAGTGAAGATGGACTCCTAAAACTCTGGAAACCCTAATTAGACTTTTTTCTTTAAACTAGTCTGAGAGCATGTACTTAAATGAAGACATATTCATGTGTTGCTTTTTTTTTTGCCAGTTTCTCTGACTAACTTGTCTGAATTAGGCACAAGAATAATTTTGTGAAAGTTCATGTTTAAGTTAGCAGTTACCCTTTTTATACATTTTTAAGGTATTCATTTGTCTTTCTAATTGGGGCAGTCACTTAATGTTTTCAATTATCTTTTACCTGGAGAGTGAAGTAATTGATAGTTCTAAAAAAATTATAATCCTTTGATTATTGCAATTCTGATTAAAATGTGCCTCCTTGCAGTAAACTTGTAAATAGGAACTATCCCATATTCAGTAGCTAGTCCTTTTTTTTTTTTTTTTTTTTTAGATGGTAATAAACTTTATACCTTTCTGGAGTCTTTGTTCTTAAATGTGAAAGTTGCTTATCTGGTTAGCATATTAGAATCTAATGAGGTGGGTGGGACATGGACATTATTATGCTCGAATCTTAAATACAGTAGGAAGTCAACTTCTGGGTAGAAAAAGAAACTATATGTGAAAAGGTTGGATGTTACATAGGATCACATTTCACTGCCTTTACCCTTCCATTCTTTTCTTTTTTTTTAAATTTTAAATGAATAGCTGTTTTTATTCTAAGTAATTTTTTTAAAAATCTTTATTGTTGAGAGTATTATAGATGTCCCCTCTTTTCTCCCCCACTACCCCCCTCCGCCTGGTTCCTGCCCACCCCAGGCCTTCACCACCCTACTTCTGGCCACAGATAAGATCTTTGGTTAATCTCTTCCTGCCCTCCCTCTCTTCCCTCTGAGATTTGTCAGTTTGTTCTATGCTTCCATGCCTCTGATTCTATTTTATTCACCAGTTTATTTTTTTCATCAGATTTCTTATTCATTTATTTTGATTATTAGATCTGATTGTTGATAGATATGTATTTATTGCCATTTTATTGTTCATATTTTTTATCTCTTCTTAAATAACTAGAGGCCTGGTGCATGAAATCTGTGCACTGAGTAGGGGGGGAGTGGCGGAGTTCCCTCAGCCTGGCCTGTGCCCTCTCACAGTCCGGGACTCCTCGGGATGTCCACCTGCCAGCTTAGGCCCACTACCCACGGGGATTGGGCCTAAGCCGGCAGTTGGACATCCCTCTCACAGTTCGGGACCCCTCCCTCCTTACTGCCCGCCTGCTCCCTGCTTCTTACTGCTCAGCTTGCTGCTCCTTCCTTAGCACTGCCGCGGAAGTGGGAGAGGCTCCTGCCACTGCCTCTGTGCTCTCCAGCCGTGAGCCCAGCTTCTGGCTGAGCGGTGCTCCCCCTGTGGGGGCAGCTCCTGCATTGAGCGTCTGCCCTCTGGTGGTCAGTACACATCATAGTGACCGGTCGTTCTGACCGATCCACCATAATGGTCACTTCGGCTTTTATTATATAGATACCCTTCAACATTTCATATAATACTGGTTTGGTGGTGGTGAACTCCTTTAGCTTTTTCTTTGTGAAGCTCTTTATCTGTCTCTCAAATCTAAATGAGAGCTTTGCTGGGTAGAGTATCTTGGTTGTAGGTCCTTACTATTCAATACTATTGAATATTTCTTGCCACTCCCTTCTGGCCTTCAAAGTTTCTGTTGAGGAATCAATTGACAGTTGTATAGGTGCTTCCTTGTAGGTAACTAACTGCTTTTCTCTTGCTGCTTTAAGGTTCTCTGTCTTTAACCCTTGACATTTTAATTATGATGTGTCATGGTATGGGCCTCTTTGGGTTCTTCTTGTTTGGGACTCTCTGTGCTTCCTGGACTTGAAAGTCTATTTCTTTCACCAGATAGGGGAAGTTTTCTGTCATTATTTCTTCAAATATGTTTTCAATATCTTGCTCTCTCTTCTCCTGGCACCCTCATAATTTGAATGTTGGTATGCTTGAAATTGTCCCAGAGGCTCCTTACAATATCTTCATTTTTTTTTATCTTAATATTTTTGGATTCTTTTTTCTTTTTGCTCTTCTGATTGGGTGTTTTTTGCTTCCTTATATTTCAAATCATTGATTTGATTCTCAGAATCCTCTACTCTACTATTGAATCCCTGTAAATTATTCTTTATTTCACTTAGTGTATGCTTAATTTCTGACTGGTCCTTTTTCATGTCTTTGAAATTCTCACTAAGATCCTTGAAAGTTTCATGAAGATCCTTGAGTAACTTTATAACCATGGTTATGAGCTCTATATCCAGTAATTTGCTTGCTTCCATTTTTTTCATTTGTGATATTTCTTTGTCTCTGCATTTTGACTGCTTCCCTGTGTTTGTTTTTGTGTATCAGGTAGAGCTGCTATGTCTCCTGGAATTGGTAGAGTGGCCTTGTGTAATAGGTGTCCTGTAGGGCCCAGTGGCTCAGCCTCCCCAATCACCTGAGCTGGGTACTTTAGGTGTGCCCCAGTGTGGACTGTGTGCACAGCCTTGTAGTTGACCCTTGATTGCTGTTGGTGTCTCTAGGAGGAGTTGACCTCCAGGCCAGTTGGCTTTGAGGACCAACTGTGACTACAGTGGGAGGGCTGTTGTGCAAGAGGCGAGGCCCAGCTGTGAAGCAAGGCAGGCTGGTGCTAGGGCCTGGTCTTGGCCTTTTATTGATAGGCTTGGGGAACGCTGTCATCAGCTGCAGTTAGTGAGATTTTAGTAAAGTCTGAAGCCTGAGCCAGGACAGGGCATTTATATGGAAAAGCTGCTGCAAACAGCTTGGGTGGGGCTGCAGATTGGATGGGGCAGGGTCTCAGGGAATCACCGGGGTGGAGCAAACAGTGCTCCAGGCAGATTGAGTCTCAGATATGGCTGCCAGTCAGCCCTGCGACAAGGGAGGTTCCAGTACAGGAACAATGACCCCTGTGAGTACCCCCTCCTGGGAGAAAGCTGCCCCCGAGTTCCTGCCCCGATTCCAGACAGTCCAGTTGCTCCCCATATGTGTCTGGGCCCCCCAGCACTGGAGCTCGGAAGAAGCAGGACTGTAAGTTTGTGCGCAGACCCTTTAAGAGGAACACCAGGGATTCCAGCAGCCTCCATGTCACTCAGTCACAGTCCCATAGTTGTGGGGACTTCTCTATCCAGCCCTAGGACCCTGGCCTGCAGGTCTGGTGTGGAGCTGGGATCCCTTGCTCCTCATGTGTGGCCTCTGCAGAGATGATCTCGCTCCCGGTTAAAAAAAAAAAAAAAAGGCACAGGTGGGTGTCGGACCAGCCCACTCCGCTCCTACCAGTCTCAATGTGCTTTCTTCTCTAGTTGTAGGACTTCCATTCAGCCTGCTTTCAGGCGGTTCTGAATGATGATGGTTTTGTATTTTAGTTATAATTTTGATGTGGTTGTGGGAGGCAGCGAGTACAGGCATTTACCTACGCCACCATCTTGGTTCTCTTTTTTCCCACTCATTCTTATTAGCTGTGCCTTTGCACATGTTCTGGCCAGTTCCAGGGAATATCATCTGAATCTTCTGGATAGAACTAGTTGCAGGATCCATTATACGAATTCAGTTTTGGCACCTCCCTTTGTTGAAGGAGGGCTTGGCATTGCAAATGTGTTGTTCTGAAGAAAAATTAATAAAGGACCTGAGATTTAGAAAAGTCGTTTGCTATGTACATCATTACCAGTTAGTGGGGGGAAAAAAATTAAAAGCCAACAAAATCCTTGAAAGTATTTGCATGTGGGTGTCTTTTTTTATGTCTAAGCCAAAAATGTTGGAAGATGGAGCATCTGTGTTAATGTATGAAGGTATTGTGTTAGGTACTATTTCAAGAAAGTGAGATTAGTTTGTATAGTCCTTTTATGCCTCTGTGTAATTTTAGCATTTATTAGGTACAAACTAATGGAGTTTTTTTTATTTTTTAAAAATATATTTTAGGCCGGAACCGGTTTGGCTCAGTGGATAGAGCGTCAGCCTGCGGACTGAAAGGTCCCAGGTTCGATTCTGGTCAAGGGCATGTACCTGGGTTGCCGGCACATCCCCAGTAGGAGATGTGCAGGAGGCAGCTGATCGATGTTTCTCTCTCATCGATGTTTCTAACTCTCTATCTCTCTCCCTTCCTCTCTGTAAAAAATCAATAAAATATATTAAAAAATATATATATATATATATATATATTTTAGAATTCAGAGAGGAGGGAAGAGGGAGGGAGAAATAGAAACATCAATGATGGGAGAGAATCATTGATCGGCTGCCTCCTGCACGCATCCCACTGAGAATTGAGCCCGCAACCCAGGCATGTGCCCTTGACTGGAATCAAATCCGGGACCCTTCATTCCGTAGGCCAACACTCTATCCATTGAGCCAAACCAGCTAGGGCTGGAGAGAGATTTTTAAAAGTTTTGCAGTCTTATAATTTATCTTCGATTGAAATTTGAAATACAGTTGTCACATGACTTGAGCCCTCAGCTTCAATTTTGTTTTTGTTTTGAATATTAAAACAAAAACAAATAGTTTGTTCCATATTGGCTAAATTAATTCTTAATAGCAATAAGAAATCCCCCTTTGCAGTCACACTCCCCAAACTAAAGATTTTTCCTGTAGCCACAAAACCTGTGGCTTTTTAATTAACAGAATGTCTGTCATATGCTGCCATTTTGAGATTTGAACACAGCCATAAATCCATGAATTTGTGTGAATGTAGCCTGCCATCCCAGTGAAAAGAAGCCTTTGCTTAAGTACTAGTAAAAAAAGTTTAAAGTGGAAAAGAAACAGCTTCTGTAAAGTTTTTAGAAAAACTTTAATGAAATTGGATTTTTTTATTTAGCCCATGGCCTCATGAACTGGCAGTTGTGAGATGCATGCTTTGTGCCCAGGCTCATGAAGGGCAAGGGTCCAGTCAGTACATGTTGCTTATTCCTTCTAGGAACTTTTTTTTTTTTAAATATATATATATGTATATATATATATTTTAATATATTTTATTGATTTTTCACAGAGAGGAAGGGAGAGAGATAGAGAGCCAGAAACATCGATCAGCCGCCTCCTGCACATCTCCCACTGGGGATGTGCCCGCAACCCAGGCACATGCCCCTGACCAGAATCGAACCCGGGACCCTTCAGTCCACAGGCCGACGCTCTGTCCAGTGAGCCAAACCGGTTTCGGCTTAAATATATATTTTATTGATTTTTTACAGAGAGGAAGAGAGAGAGATAGTTAGAAACATCGATGAGAGAGAAACATCGATCAGCTGCCTCCTGCACACTCCCCACTGGAGATGTGCCCGCAACCAAGGTACATGCCCTTGACCGGAATCGAACCCAGGACCCTTCAGTCCGCAGGCTGACGCTCTATCCACCAAGCCAAACCGGTTACGGCCCTTCTAGGAACTTTTTATCAAACACCTCTTCTGTTCCAACACCTAGTGCTGAGGATGGTTTAAAAAAAAGACCAGTTTCTGGCATAGGATAGGGAAGAAAAGCAAGTTGAAAGGAGTAATTAAAATAGTGGAGTAAGAGAAAATCTTCACTTGTTTTTTTGGTAATGGAAGGGCACCTAATCCAGCCCTACTGAGTTAGGAAAGGCTTCCTAGAGTTGAGCATAAAAGGACCATCAGGAACTGCAGGTAAAGGGATTTGGCAGTCTTAGTAGTAGTTTATGGCGAGACTGGGCAAAGAGGAGAGACCTGGATTGGGAGCTATTAAGTATGGGGTTTTTTTTTTACTTTTTAGTTAAGTAATACATTGGTGTAATAAGTAAATACAAAGCTGAAAAAGGGATCTGCTTTTCCCAGTAACCTTTAGGCAGCTGTCTACAACTTAACCTAAAAACAGTGTTAACTTTTATTCAA